AAATTGTTAAAATGTTTCCTTTAGAAATGTCTGTTCAGTATAGTATGGGAGGAAGGTAACAATACAGTGCTTTTTTATTATATATTGTTGAAATATTTCCTTTAGAAATGTCTGTTCAGTATAGTATGGGAGGAAGGTAACAATACAGTGCTTTTTTATTATATATTGTTGAAATATTTCCTTTAGAAATGTCTGTTCAGTATAGTATGGGAGGAAGGTAACAATACAGTGCTTTTTTATTATATATTGTTGAAATATTTCCTTTAGAAATGTTTGTTCAGTATAGTATAGGAGGAAGGTAACAATAAAGTGGGTTTTTTTTAAGATAGTGTTGATATTCGTACATCAGAGATATCTGTTTAGTAGTATAGGCCAATACACAGTGTTGAACACTAAAAATGCTACAGGAAATAACAATCGAGAAGTGTAATCAATAACAACCACCCAGTCCAGGGACCAGGACGGTGGCTTGAACCATCGATGACTGTCTTGCTGTGATGCCACATTCCATGCCAAGCGAGGGGCGACCTCTCTCGGCGGGAATATTTTCTTATTACTGGAATGTGAGGAATCCAAAGAAATCTATATAAATAATAATTACTGAGGATAAGAGATAATTCAGGTTGTTTCAAAAGCACTATTTAATTTATCGATTTATTGAAAGTGCAATCAATATCTTTTGTTTAAAAATACCACTTTGATATCTAGAAATCACTATTTTAGAGTAAAATAAGGCAGTCGTAAGTAAAGATTGTTGATTTACACTTATTAAACCTAAAAATATCTTCTGAAATCAAACACATATAAGAATAATGTTTTCAAACATAAAGTCAAAGGCCGTTATTATAGAATGATTAAAAGTAATCAACAGATGGAGCCACATGGTATCCGACAAATTTTATTTAAGATTGATCTGGATATTAAGGTAAAATACGAATACAACTTCAACTCAGAATTATTGGTTCGTGAAAAAATTGGGAGTAAATTATTTGAATAATAAAGCACGATTACTTACAGATTTTATTTGAAATAAATAAATAATAATATTTAATATTAATAATAATGTTAGTTTTAAGTGGTTATAAAGTAATGAAAGAATATGAACTACTAAAAGTATTCGCGTTTAAAAACAAGAACTTAGATTTTCGAAACGAAAACCAAGAACGTATGGGTAAGAAGTAGGCTTGTTTTAGTGTAAAGCCAAAATGGGTTTATCTGCTCTGTCCACCGCGAGGAATCAAACCCGAAATTTTAGCGTTGTAAGGGAATAAACTTACCACTGTTCCACCATGGTACAATTTTTAAAAAAAATTAACGTTTAGAAATATTTAAAATAGAATTCGAACCTGCACGTGGTTAGAAAAATAGCATTAATATAAAATCATATGTTCACGGTAGTCGATAAAAAACAAACTACTTTTTTTTTTACAATGCCTATGGCATTATATACATTCGATATGTAATATTTACAGCAAACTTCTCGCTATACACATTTATGTCACACTACGTCTTTCGCGTATAAAAGACACGCGCTAACCATGTCCGAGTTTGTCTAATGTTGCAATGTTTGACGTACTATGACTTGCACAGACTTTTTTTTGCTAACCACGTGTATGTTTGGCTAGTGAAGATTGTTTGTTTGTTTTTGGAATTTCGCGCAAAG